TGTGTGTGTGTGTGTGTGTGTGTGTGTGTGTGTGTGTGTATATGTATATGTGAATGTATATAACAAGTGATGCACAAGCAATTGGTGTCATATGTTATGGAATATCCCTTTCACCAGTTTAAGTCAGTTGTCCTAATTTTATTCCCTACCAGCTCGTTGAGCCTTTTGTTGTGAATGGCCTTGGTTGTGTACAGCACTGCTAGAAACATCGATGTGTTATGGATATTATTTTTCTCCTAGAACCAAAATATTACACATATCAGGCATTGAGGAAAACAATTCCGTTCTAGCTGAAACTAAGACAGCTTTCCAGAGAGCTTTTTACCTTCTGCTGGGAATCACTGAGCGTAGCATTTTATTTCATAAATGGTTGTATGCCTCACAAATGATGCAGTTATGAAACTGTCAAGTCCAAGTGGATATGCATCATTCCATATGTTTTCTCCAGTGGACTGGAAAATAAATTTGAAAGTTCTGTGCAGTGTCACAAGAGTACTTTTGTATTTCAAAAAGCTTTAGACATGCATGAGATTTCAGTTGGAAAAATTGCATTGGAATAAACGTAGCAGATGTTTATATATATCTATGTGTGTGTGTGTGTGTGTATATATATACATTTATACATTTTAATGTCACTGTCTTCTTGTTTGTGTAGCAACATCACCAGGCTGTTGTAGGAAGCCCTTTGATGTGAATTTGGAAGTCCTTTGGAGAAAGAGAAACTGTGTAACTCTGTAATGTTGGCCTTGAGCTTTCTCTGACTTCTTCTGGACAGATCAACCCTGAACAATGCTGTTTTTCTGTAAACCATCTGTTTATTAAGATTAGTTCTCACTAAGAGCAGGGTGAATCTTCGAAACTCAACAATATGAATATAGATACCGCATTTTGTGTCTGAGCTAAAATGGGCTCTCTTTGTGTAGCTTATGGTCTAGACAGGCAGAATATTTAGTTAAAACTCTGATGCTCTCTACATGGTTCTTGGAGACCACTGTCAACACAGAGTAGCATTTGAAACATTATATTGATGAATCCTGAGAGGCGATACATTTCTACACATCAGTAGTAGCAAAGACCTATTCAAAAGGAAAATAATGGGACTGAAGAGGCTTGTAATTTCCTGAAAGAGACTTTGTGGTACACCAGCCTGAGCTTGGTGTTTTGACATGCTGCTCTATCAGCTCAAAAGCTATGCCTTTATCTTCTCAAAATATCATCCTGGGTAAATACTACTTTATGTCTCTTACAGCACAAGTTTTCAAGGTTTTAAGACAGGAAATATCAACATCTTTAAATTTAAAGATGTAAAATGTGTTTGGAAATGGAAATGAATAAAAGGAAATAGGAATAATATTTATCACTATCACAAGGTGGGAAAAACCTGTCACAGGAATGGATTTTAAAATCTATATCTTCTCCTTGCCCATATAATCTATTGATTTTTTCCTGAAATATATTTTCTTATTACAATTTTACTCACTGTAGTAAGCTATGTATTCTTAGTTATTGCTTTTCCCTGCACTAATCTGAAGTATTGTTCCTTTTTGCAAGAACTGTGAGAGCTCTGCCATGTTAGTGCAGTGCTACAGTATGGGCACTGAAGGCAGATATCTTCATTACTCTGTTGCACAGGAGAGAACATGGTTTTGGAAATTATAAGATAAAGGATAATATAGTAAAATAAGTAAAACCCCACAGAACATAACTGAATAAGTTTTATGATAAATGAAATATACGTTTGCATGTTACTGTCTCCCTGATTGAAGTATTGTGACAAGAGAATTTGAAATTGATACCTATCTGACATTCAAGTGTTATTAGTAGCTTGGTATCTTATAGAATTGTGTGGTATCAGCTTGGCATGCTTACATACAGAAGTGTTTTTTTTTTTTATGATTTTTCTGTAGCAGTTCAGCTATTCCTCCTCAGAAAACGAGATAAATTTTATATTCCCTCTCATATGACACTGGTGATAGCTATGTAGCAGTGTAGTTACTTAGAAACAGGATTTACCAGGGTGTGCTGCATGAATACGCATAACTTTTTTTTTTTTTTTTTTTTTTTTTTTTTTACAAATCATTAAAAAAAACCAACCCTGAATATTTTCAAAATTTGACAGTAGTGGTCTGTTGAAATGAAAAGATAGTTGGCAGAATAAAAATAATTATGCTAGGGAGAAGCAGAGTAGAGCTACAGTGATGACCTCCCTTAATATGCTCCCATAGATGTGTTGGAAATAATCAGACAAATTTCACTGTGGAGAATTAATGCAATAAATTTGTTTCGATTATCTGCACTAGAACAGCCTGTATACAGGCTGTTCTATAAACAGCCTGTATAAATCTATAAATCTTCTACAGCTGGACTGGTTTTTATTGCATATATCCATACTTAAGTATAGTGTCTATCTCTACTTCTCAGGTAAGAGTGGATGATGTATTAAAACCCAGTGTACTATAAGTAATCAAATCCCAAAGAAAAATATTTAATACATCTGTCCAGTGTGCCTGAAATATCTGTTCAGAAGAATTTTAAACCAGCTACTAAAACTTAACACAAACAGACCTTCCTGCAGTCAGGAATGCAGTTGGTCAGTCCATCCTGTACTGGGCTTTGCCGGGTCAAATGTATCTCCTTGCTGACTGACTTCATACATGCACAACCTTTTGTTCTGAAGTTTTACTACTTGTTTTTCTTTCTTGCACAGTAGCTGTATAAGTTGTGAATACTGCTTTTGTAAAAACGTACTGGACTCTATCACAGAATCATTATAGGGAGTACAAGAGTTGTGCCTCAGCTGAATGCTACATAGAAGTATTTTTTTCAATGGGAGTCTATTTTCTCAATCATTAGACAAAAACAGCGGACATCAGACAAAAATTGGCTGCAAAGTAAAACTTTGATCTTAACGAAAGGGGGAGGCTGTTGTGAAGAATGTGTTTGTATGGAAGGAACTGAACACTGATCCCATTTCCAATGTTATAAGAAAAGAGATCAGATATCTCTTTATAGTATCTTCCAAAGGAAATACAAAAAACATATCATAAAAAATTATTGTTGAGACTGGTTAAAAGAGCTAATAGAGCAAGAAAAAATGTAATGTTTTTATTTCTATGGATTATTTAAACAGGAAACGTTTCAAAGTATTAGGGCAAAATCATTAAGTTTCTGGAGATGTTTTATGTAGCTGTGGATTCTGCTTTCTATGTTTTAGTGAAAGTTGTTTGAGAAACAGTGTAAACTACAAACCTTGTTCCAATTTTATCAGCATGTTATATAATCTCAAAGATTTTAAAAGCTTTAATAAATACTTGGTCTGCAAAAATGTAGTGATCTTTCCATGGTTGCTTAATTTTTGGTATGAATCAGAAAAGAAAGTGTCCCCCACTTTTCTTATACTGGTATCATGAAGCTGGATTCAAAACAGGTATTTCTTAAGAAAGGAAGAATTGTTTGACATCAGCAGAATTAAAAGTTATGCAACAACAGAGGTTCCTTGTGATTCTCTATATAGTCAGACTCTGAAGAAATCTGGTATCGTTCAGTTTATTTTTACAGTAAAAAAAAAAAAGTATTCTCACAATTTAGGATCTTTAAAAAACATGTTTCTCAGACCTTCATTGAAAGGGTTCAAACTTGGCCAGAGTTCTGAATACAGATAAATATACATCTCAGAATTATTATTTTCTAGAAGAGTCAGAAAATAACTATTTAGTGCAGAAAGATTAATATATAACTGTAAGGAAATATAGATTTGCTTTCTGTAGTTCTGCACCTTAACATGTGTTATTGTAATACCAAATCTGCATAACATCTAGCAATCCCTGCAATGCATACTGGCATGAAGTGTGTCTAAGTGTGCCACAGAGCCATGTTACCGTGCAAGGGCAGTTATGTATACTGTGTCCTAGACAAGCACACTGTCTCCAGCATTGTATCTATGGAAAGAATTTCAGAGAAGGTATGGGAAATGCGAGTGGGAAAGCTTCAACTACTTTGTGGAGAAGTCAAGGTGAAAGATGCTAGGGAAGTTGTGTTGCTGCTGCAGTTTTGAGCTATGTGGCCTTTCCTAACTATTTCCTATTATCCAGTGGTCAGTAATAGGTTTGATGTAGTGGTGGAAGCATCAGACTAGTTCTCTCAAGTCAGCTTAGTAGGGCTCCTGGGAGGTCTAAAGCCCTGTGAGTATGGAAGAGGCGATATTAAGAAGGGCAGAAGGCAGGCTATTGCAGAAGTAAGTGGATGAATAATGGGGTGAATCACAACTCCGTGTGGTCTTTGGAAGTGATGCTGTATGCACTTTGGAGAAGACTGCTGTTCTTTCAGGAAAATCTCACTATTAAGAGAGCCAAAGTGTTGGAATAAATTGCGTTGTTTTTTTTTTTTTTTTTTTTTTTTTTTTAATGTAATAGCCATGTCTATGGTGAAGCAGTGGTGCATGGACAGTAAGAAATCATGGAATCAAAAAACATGTTTTTTGCAAGCAATAGATCTTTTTTGTACACCAAGACTAGGAGTCTGTATTAAAATTTTATAAGCCATAATTTTCAAATTGTAAGCAAAACTTTGATTTTGATGCTATCACAGTCATATTGGATATTTATCATGGCTGAATTGCTTTAAAAAAATAAATAAATAAAAGTTGTCTTAAGGTGCACAGTGTTTCTAAGAAGGGCATATTTTCTTCCAAAAGCAAAAAAGACATTACCACATATGAGGAACTGACAAGTCAGAAGCATAAACAATCTTTAATTGCTTATGGAAAAATGTCATAACAGATAATGTGCAAGATGGATTATAGTTTAGGCAGTGCTTCAGGCCTTCAGTCTGCCTCATAATCACAGATTAAAATTGGGTTAGAGTAAAAAAGCTGCATAACTACAGGATTTCTCTTCAGGTGATAATGTTAAAAAAAATCATACAGCTAATACCAAAATGTGCTTGACGTTTTTTATGTGCTCTAAAACTCACTTTCTGTTTTTGTTTTGCATCCAATACAGCATAAAGCTATGGAGGCATGATCATAACAGATAAGGAGAAATTGATTTCAGAACAGAACAACAGATAAGTAAACAGAAATCCTGATTGACCTCAGATGGCTTTGGTAAACAGAATAAACACAAATAAATGATGTATGTATTTGGACTGTATCTCTATAGAGAGATCCTCAAGAACTAAGGAATTTCAGTGTAGCATTTCAGTGCTTTCTTTGTAGAAATCCTATTTTCTAATGGTTTACCAATTATGCTCTTTACAAAAAAGGAATACTGCATTTAGGAAACTATTTCAGTACTTGGAATTATTGGATTTTATTTGTTCCAATCAGTACATCTTAAATCAAAAGTGCTGGTTGCACCTTCTAAGATTATAACAAAAGCTGAAAACAGGAAATTGTCAAAGGAATAATTAATTTTTCAAAAATACGTACACAGAAAATGAACTACTTCATCAAAGTAAGTCTCTGGACATCCCACAGGAAAACACATAAGCTCTGTTCAAAAAATATAATGTTAAAATAGTTGAGCACCAGATTGATGAACAGTTTGAGAACAAGTTGAAAGGTTTACCCGATGCTGCAAGAAAAGCCTCCAAAAAAATTGGAGAAACTTTATTTACCACTGACAGTGACTGAAAGATGATAAATATTGGGGAAAAAAAATGCAAAAGGGAAAAAGAGTAACTCTAAAAGAGTATTAATTCTCATTGTAACATAGAGATCAAAGGGAATAATCTAGTCTTTTGATGTTCATCAGAAATCTTCGGATAAAGCAGTAAGGCTATATTTGGTGTTGGTTTAATGTCTAAAATACTAGGTCCACGTCTTATGTGAGAAATTTATAAAGTATCCTTGATAAAATGGAGAGGCCCTGGAGAAAAATCAGTCAAATACGTATCCATCACTGCAGAAATCTCCAATCAGACTTTCAAGGGGAAAAATAATTATCATAATAGAAAAGTTGTTTTATAACCAGACAGCCTGTATACAAACAGATACGCTGATGTACAACCTTTTTGTTTGTTTTTAGGATTGAAATTGTTCAGATTGCTGATGAGGAGCAGAGGGGGAAGTATAAGGGCTCCATTTGTTTTCTAGTTTCTGCTTTTTTTCAGAACTAGAAATTGATTAACTGCAATAGCATGTACCTTAAAATTTTCACGCTTAATGTTATATAAGTTGTTATGATGACCTCAGATTTGATTTGTTACATTATATTTATTATTAAATTGCTAGCATCTAATTTGCATTTGAAAGACCTTCTTCTATGTATTGTTCAACAAATCAATTGTTGCAGTAGTTTTGAGGTGTTCTTCCAGAGGTGTAGTGATTTGTGGTGATTAGAACTTTTATCACAATTAATTTAATGTCTCATGTAAAAAAAAAAGTCTTACAATTACTGCATCAATCTATAGTAGCTTTTAAGAAATGCAGCGAATTTGCTGTAGATTATGCCTGAAATTTGATGAGTTAATTAGGCTTCCTAACCTGTTATCTTACCTTTCATAATTAATACCATAATCATATTCATCTAAACTCAATTATACAGAAGACATTGTGTGAATGTTTTTTTTTTTTTAAATGAAACAAAACATGGGCACAGTAAGACAGCTGTACACTCCTCAGGGTGCAAATTCTTTAGCAACTGATGCTGTAATTAAAACAGAAATTCCATGTCTCTAGTGTTTAGGGAAATTGCTTTTGTATTTATTAGAAATTCTGGACAGTGTTGACCTAATAACTACAGCCTCTAATTACAAGGTCCATACATATTTAAAAGCAAAGTGTCTCTCCTGAGTTCAGGGTATGAAAAATGTGTAGTCTGGTTGTTGGGGTGGGTAATGTTTAGGCTGGGATGATTGAGTCAGACCCAGAGAAACATTTGATTCTAAAATGACTGAAATATTCTTTTTTTTTTTCTTTTCTTTTTCACTTGAATGGAAAGCTCAACCACGTTGCTGAGATTGAGCTTCACTCTTGGTATTCAAGGTATTATCCTGCAGATTAAGAAAGTAATCCTAATAATCTAGAGAAAAGATGTAGTACCCAGTGTTACTTCTGTATCAAATCTTCTCATCTGTAAATTCTAGACCAATCTGTTCTTAATAATTAAGTTAGTTTTTCAGGACATATATTTGCAGGTGGATTTAATATTATTACTTGAAATAGTATTAAAGATACAGATACAGAAACACTGAGAAACTCTCTTTAATCCTGAGAGGACTCTGTTCTGTTTCCCTTTTAGGCAACGTTAAGCATCTGTTATTTCTGAATCTTCTCTGAGACCGTGCGCTTCATCATGTGCAAACACTATTACTCTGCTGAACTTTTTCAAAGGTGCCATTATTGGAAATGGCTGCAGCTGAGAGGGAGAAACTGTAGAATTTTCAAAATGATGTCCCTGGTCAGGAAGGAATAACTACCCAAAAACTGAAATAAATTATCAGTGTATCCATTTTTATCTTTAATATTCCAAATAACATAAAGTGAGATAGGTGAGACGAAAAGTATTGGACTTTTTGACAATATCAATGAATGTTTGATGTCAATTGGAATTGTTATTGATATCAGTAATTATGCAAAATATATATATTTAAATATAGTGATTTAACATCTTAAATGTTTTAAAGAGAGAGTGCTGCACATAAGGAAATGACTGTTGTCATGACTGGAGATATTTTAGCTTTTATCTTTATTTATTTTGACTCAGTTTGTCTTATGTATTTTATACAGGCAAGGCAAAAGCCATAGACTATCAAATGAAGTAGAGATGCGGGGAAGATTTTTCAGATTCAAACATGAGTATTTGGGGTATGTGAATCTACTAAATTTACCTCTAGGTACAGGTGCAGTAAAAATGAGTGATTTAGTTCATTTATAGACCAGCTGGTGCATGGCTTTGTACAAAATTGTAATGGATGTAGCGGATTCTTTTGTATGCAATGAACAATTTCTATGAAAAGTTAGCCATTTAAACAGTGTCTATTTTATTAGGATTTCTGGATATATGGTAACTTGCTTGGAGAGACACAATAGTCTGGCAATAACAGCACAGCAGCATCTGATACCCTTAACAGAGCTCTTATATTCAACAGACCCAGACAGTGGAAAGATGTGATTTTGGAAGGTGAAATTTTTGGAGACCTTAGAGAAATAAGAATATTGAAATGAAATTGCAAAATTTTCAAAAGCTATGTCAAACCAAATGCTGTATCATAACTAAGTGCATTTGGAAGGTACTTTGGCTCTTCTTGGATCTCAAAATCAGTGTTACAGCAATACAACTACAATAAGGATAACTTCAGATCTTCTTGGTACTGCTGTAAATGCTAGAATATGTCATATATTTTTTAAACATAGATCTCATATTTGCTTTCTGATCCTTAGCGTGTAATCTGGCACATAATCCATAGAGAAGGTGAAGTCCGTAGCTCAGATACAGTACAGCAGTCACTTCCAGAGGAGTTCTCAGGACTCTCCAGGAAGCTTTTAGGAATGGTCCCTTGAATTATGTTCTGAATTTGAGCTTTATGTTGTTATTTACTCTGTGTGTTTCTGTTTCCAGCTGTTTTGCACCCTTTGCCACCACAAATTTGTGCATGATGACATCATTGCTGATACTCGTAAAGTGTGTGATGGAAAAACTAATGTCAGTAGAGCTTATCTGTACTGCAACAAAAATTTCCAGTTTGGGTTCAATATTTATGAAGCCTCTGTCTGCTACATGAAAAATAAACCTTTCCTTTAACTTCTTGGCCCCAGATCTTTCATATTTTGGTAGCACGTTTGGTTTTAATGTTTCCTACTTTACTTTGAGAAGATGTTCTGTTTTATACTGTTTCTCCATTTATTCCTCTCTTCCTCAAGCTATTATGGAAACTACAATTTGAAGTGATACTGAAGTTGTATATTTGTTTCAGTGTTATGTTGTCAAGCTTATGTTCTGAATAAACATTTTTTGCCTAAAAATTCTCAGTTTTAAAGAAAAAGAGAAGGGAAACAATCTTCTCTATGATCAATAGGGTTGTATCTCATCTTCAAAGTCTTTGAAAAATAATCATTTTCCTTGAGATAAAAATGTAAAAACATAGAGGAAAATATATTCTATTTTTAGGTTTAGCCAAACATTAGGTGCATTATTCAGCTGTTAGAGATGGAAGTTGAATGAAGCATATGGATTGCCCATTATAATAAAAGCAATTTGCTCTATCTGACTAATTTAAGCATAAAAAATTACAATGATCAATCTTGTATAAAATGGACAAGGATAACTCAGCAGTTTAATGTTAATTGTCTTTAACATTCCAAAGCCCATATTGATTTTTATACTAAATTTATAAAATGCCTGATAAGGTACAAGATCTAATGAATTACGTACATGACATCTACTTTAACCTTACAGAAAGAGATTCCAGGTCATAAAGTCAGATGGTCAGAATCTTCACAAAGCAGAAAAATTGTGTTTAAAGTTATCTTTAAGCCTATCTTTTCCTTCTCTTCCCTACTTTTCTTCTTCTTTTAATCTTCAGAAGGAAAAAAAAAAAGTGAATAACTGCTGAAGCTACAAAAATAGAGGCAAGGAGTACTTACGCTGAGGCAGACTGGACTTGTAGACCCCTGAAGAGCATAGGATGTTCAAAGGGCAAATACTTGGCATTGTCTTGTATTCTAACATATGACAAGATCACTGCTGATCACTGTTATTTTTACATACTTTTCACAATTTTGTCTACAATTTTTTCTCATAGAAATTGAGCAGGCAGAACACCGACTTGTCCATGTGCTGTAGTTATGTGTCTTTGGATGGATTCTTTGTGTGATGAAAAATCTACTCTTTCAGAAATAGCAAGGTGAACTGTGAATGACAGTGTAACAAGAAAAGGACTGAAGTCCATTGCCATTACAAATATAAATGTAAGTTTCTATCTGCCAGCACTTCCTTTATAAAATAATAGTAGCTGTCAGTCAGCAGAGCTGTAAGATCTGATGACGTTATTTAAAAAAAACATTTCACCTCTGTTTTCCCTTATGAGCAGTGCTGATGTATTTCGTTCATGGTGTTCACATGATGAACAACATGCCTTCTTTATGAAATCAAGTTGTTGCATATCACACCCCCAGCAGCAGCAGTGTAGGAAAAGAAATAAATAGCAATGCATTGGGAACAATCAAGCTGTAGGTTTGTCACTGTAATTAATCAGCAAGGCATGACAGATTGTGTGCCAGTGCTGCTTAATCACCTCTCCAGTGCTTGGTGAGGCATGGTAAGAAGTTGAAGCTTTCCAGTGAATTCGAACTGAACATTAATTACCAGCACAGGATAGTTTTTGAGACACAGTCATGTCAGGAATGCTTGAAGCTCTGACTCATTTCAAGGAATAGCATTGGTCTCCTGAATGTGTAAGGCAGTCTAATGCAGACCCTGAAGCTTACTTGGTCCCATGTCAACATGAAAACTTGGAGCTGACTCCTAACTATTGCCTCTCTGTATCCCTAGATCTTGCATCCCCAGTCCAAAGAAGCAGACTCCTGCCATCAAGTGGGTGGGAAAATATTTCATTTTTCCAAAGGTCTGCTGTCTTAGGGGCTTTTGTTTCCTTTAGTTTTGGCTTTCTCTTGTAGATTTCACAGAAGGACCTGATGGTCTTTGAGGGGTCTTTGATGTCTGGATCCCTGGGTGCGGGAAGTCATTGCTCCCATTTGTATTTTCTGTCATTGCTGTTGTGGAAATGAAGTTGCATGCATCCAACGCAACAAATCAGACTATCTGGGCTTTTATGAAAGCTTTGCCTTTAATGACACATATAAGTTTAAATAAACGTGTTTCCTGAATTATTTGGTGATAAAGGGAAGAATGAAAGAAAATCAAAGGCAAGTGGGGAAAGTAATAGGTTAAAGCAGACTGCTTACATAGAAGTGCCAGAGTTTCATATCAAAAACAGTTGTCAATCATTTTTGTTGCCTTTACCTTTGCTTTCTAGGCCTGATTTAAACTTACAGTAAACAGTGCAACTCAATCTAATGTATTTGGCTGTCAATACTACTTAACTCTAGTGGAAATGCTTCCCTGGTGCCCATAATATGTAAGAAAGCTTTATTGTATAGAACTGGGCACTCTGTCCAAATATGTTAATAAGCAACACTTAATGATTTTTCAAGGTGCAAAAGTTTGATAAGATGAAGAGTTTGACATCAAAGATGTCTCTTCTAAAGAGGGGCATTTAAAAAAAAAAACAATACACAAGCAACGTAAGAGGCAAGACCTGTAAGGAAGCTCAGTAGTTGTCTGTAAATGTAAAACATTCTCAAGTATCACTGGTAGGTTTAAAGCACAATTTTTCAAATATACAAATAATGACAAAGCTAGAAGACTCCAGCTTCCAGAGTGAAGGTGAGATCACACCTACCAGAGCTGACCTATAGAGGGAAAACAGCCTCTCTTATGTTTGCAGAAACAGTAAAAAAGTATTAAAAAAATCTTTGAACCTGAAGGGTTACCATAGAACACTGGGGCTTTACTCATGGTCTCAAGTCAGTGAAGCAGAAGCAAGAGTTCAGTAGAACTTAGGCAGATGTTCTCTGAACTAGAATTGCACTTGGAAACATTACAGTCTATCAAAGAAATAGTTACATCTTTCATTCAAAACCAGCTTTTAGTAAAATTAAAAATGCTTTGCCAGTGAATTTAATAAATACTAAGAATATGTCTGTGGATCTTCTGATTTTTTTTTTTTCCCCACTTTTATTAATACCAGATTTATTTTTAGTTAATAATGTCAGACCATTTCTATCTGGATAGTTTCTTTGCATCTTTTTGGCCAGCTCCTTTTCCCTTGTACATCATCAGAACAATCTCATTTCTTACATTAGGTTATGAAATAGAATTGGGGGTGCTGTTAAAGATGTCATCAATTCAGTCCTTTTAGGAGCTGAATCTGAACTCAGATTTTACAGATTGAGCACGTTTGGAGATATATTAATGTAAGTCAAATATCTAAGTCATAGTTTCCAGAGATATCAGTCAAAGCCTTTTCTCTGAAACTGTATAGCTCAAATGGTGTTATAAGTCAGATGGAAAAAGTATGAAAAGCAGAAAAAATAATTCACTTAAAGAAGCACTGAGTTTAGAGGCAACAGCTAGTAATGACACCTTTTGTATTTATTTCCTGTTCCCTGAAGTACACTTCTTCTAAAGTTACATCTTGTTTCCTTACTTAGAATAAACAATATATATATAAGGGTAATAACGCTTTACAAAGTGAAAATATCTCCTCTACTACATCTGTTAGTCGCGTTCTATGTTTACCGCTGCCTGCATGTTAGAAAGGCACACAGTGACAGATTTTATCCCCAGAAGAGCTGCAGTTTTAATACATGAACAAAAGCATGCGAATAATAGATACAGATGCTAAATTACCTCAGAAAAGTCCCCTTATTTTGGTCTGGTAGGAAACTGTATTAAGTAACTATTGTGAGGAAATTCGCCACCTCTAACATTTATATCAATTTTGCAACAGTAAGAAGGAAAAAGCAGGAGAAGAAAGTAGCTTGAAAAGCAAATGAAAAAAAGAGAAAATATTTCAAAATAGTACCGAACTTGGTAGTATATGTTCTTTTGGTGCTATTTTACACATTTATTCTTGTCCAAAATTGTTGTTTAATCTTTCCTTCAGTCCCTGTTTCCGACGGTATTTCTAGGTAGGCAGTAACAGACTCCTACTCTTGAAAAGCCCTTTTGAATTAATTGACTATATGGCTGAGCCCTAATACTTTAACTTAATTGTGATGCTTGCTCATTTCAGTGAACACTGGGAGACTGGCTCCCCTGTCAGGACATGGGAAGCCTAAATCATGGCCATGGCAAGATTCAGGAACAGATGTCTTGCTTATGGACCATAAATTAACTTCTCTGTGGCAGTGGGTCAATTCCTAAGAGGCCATGTTCTTATGCCTACTAGTGGTGAAAATTATTTTTGTAGATATTTGATTGGTAGATCAAGTGGCTGGCTTGAAGTGCAAGAGAATGTGTACCAAGTGAACTGTAATTTATTCAGGCACTTTCTTCTGTTTCAATTTTTAAATGAAGCTTTTTAAGCAAACAAGTGC